TCCATCTTATTTATTCATTATTTTTTGAATTGAATATTATTTTACACTTATTGCCTTATTACATAACATCTTCTTCCACACATTTTTTTATTAGTTATCATTGGTAAATTAATGGTTCCGAATAAATTATGCTTCATTCTAGTATTCATGTTACCTTATATTCTTGTTCAAAATTTATATAGTCAATTCTAGTATTCATGTTACCTTATATTCTTATTCAAAATTTATATAGTCATGATTAGTAGTTAATAAGATTTTATCCAATTTATATTATTCATACCTTATAGGTCTCAAGGTAACCTTTTAAAGTTTATTTTATGAGGTAATGAGAGATCCTTTTCAAAGTTTATTTTTTTTATGTCTATATTAACCATATCTTTTTTTTTCTTTCTTCCTGTCCTTCAATTCAATGCCAACTTTTTCAAATAACTAGATTCGTCGCTATAATTTATTACCCTTCGCATTTGATATTTGTCCTTTTTATTAATTTTTATTTTATTTTAAAAAAGTTAACAAAGTTATAAATATTTTTCAATCTCACTCTCTTTTAATTTTTAATCTTTAAGATTTGCTCATTATAATTTTTTTATTTTTAATAAGCTATAAAATTATATTTTTTTTTCAATTTCACCCATTTTCATTTTCTTATCTCTCAAACTTGATCCTCATTTTTTTATTATTTATTTTATTTTAAAATATTTTTTAGGTTTTTTTTCCCTATCAAATTTGATTTTTATTTTTTTTACTGCTATCTTTTTTTCTTTGGTAGATTTTTTAAATTAATAATTTTTTTTCATGATTTCATCATTTAAAATTGAATTGGTTGAGAATTAAACTTTTTAATTGAACTTGGTTCAAGGATTTCATGATTTTTATAGTCATGGGGTTTGGAAGTTAACCTGAGTTAACTTATATCTTTTACATTGCTTTTCCAAATTAAATCTTTTTTTTTCTTTCAAACATGAGTTAACATTGTTTGATTAAGCTTTATAATATTATTCAATTTGCTTTCAAACATATCCACCCTGGTATCACGACTAGGTTTGAGATTTTATATTTTGACCCGAGTGGGCTCGGATTGAGTCTTTTATCTTTTTAAGTTATATTTTTTTCCTTAATTTTCATCCTTTAACATTTTATTTGCTAAAAATTGAGCTTCACCCTCTTTTTTTGTGAAGTTATTGTATTCTCATTTGATTTATCAAGATTTGGTATTTTAATTTTTTTTCTATTTTTTCTATGAGATTATATAAATTTTATGTCTATAGTTACAAAGGTTGCAAGTTAATCTTATTTAACTAAGTTTTTTCTTGTTTTTTTTCCTCTTCATCATTGAATTGTTTAATAATTTGGGTTGACTTAGATGAAGTTCTTTTAACATTATATATATATTTTTTTACTATTATTGTTGTATTAGTGTATTAATTATATTATTTAAATTATAAATTGAAGATTTTAAGATTTTTTTACATTGAAAAAGCATTTTACCCGCTGCTAATAGCAGGCTAGAAATCTAGTTTTCCTCTGTTTTGGATAGACGGACATGGCCAAGGTCAACCCATAGTTCCTGTATGAAAAAAGTTGTATTTCCCCTGAACACCTTTATAAACATTTCTCAGATTATATATTAAGTTTTCCTCCATGCTTATAAATATCGGCGTGGCTTCACAATACCAATCAATAACCTAGTCCTGTGTTGTGCTCAAAACGAAAGACAATCACAAATCGAGTCCACACATATTATAAGTTCTTTTACTTGTTTTATTAGGGGCTAATCTGCAAGATCGCTATCCAAGGAATCACTAGATTGAGTGCATAAAAGCAGCCTTACCTTCTCACATGTTTTATTGAAACTGGTACTCCGGGGACCATCTTCGACGACAGAGGTCATGCCCAAGAAGCCTAGCCGCTTCTATAATCTTTGCCTGAGCTTCCAGGCTCGCATGGCGTTTGAGCGACGAAAGCAGAAAGTTGCCCTGTCTAACCTGAATTTCTTACGCTTCTTCATTAATGGAGTGGAAAATATTGGAAGCTGATTGGCTCTAGGAGAGCCCCACCACCGACCATGCCGTATAGTAGATGAGAAGTTAAGGAGTACCTTGTCTGAGATGATGTACACAATAAATACATTAGACATGCATGTACTGTCCAAAGAAAATGAAAAAATAAATATATAAATAAATAAAGAAAAGGAAAGATACACTTACGATGAGTATCTGTTCTGAATTGCATAAATATCCAAAAAGAGAAATATATAGATAGGTCTATCAGTGAAGAAATATTATACTTTTTTATATTTTAATCATATTTATAACAATAAAAAAAAATCAAAATACAAGATAAATCAAAAATGAATTTGCCATATCAACGATTCCATAAGCTCAAATATGAGATTTCAATCTAAATAAATCTTTTTATTTATCACATATGTTGCTATTCCCTGGGCTAACAAAAATTTTATGAACAAATCAAGTTCGCCATTTTTTCTCAAGGATGAACCTTGTAAAGTTTTATCATGTCTGCCTTTTGGCTCCAATCGTCGATAGAAATATGTTTTTTTTTGTTTTTTTAAAAAAAAACTTAGATAGGAGCGCGTCTAATTGCTAGGTCTGCCTAGCTCTAAAGAAATATGGTTACATTTCTATTAATTTTATTTTTTTGTTTTTGCAGTTGGAAAGTATTTTTATAAAATTTTAATTTTTTTCTTTTAAATTAATTTTTTTTTATGATTTAGATTATGTTATTTTAATGTAATGATATCAATTATAAATTTTAAAAAAAATAAAAAATACATTGAAAAAAATTGTTATTATAATATTATACGGGTTCTTAATTATTTCTCCAAACATCTTATCACAATTTTTTTATTATTTTAATGAATAATCTGATCTTTTGGATAATTAAAAAGATACAAAAATAATTTTTTTCCCCTTTTCAAGCAACAACATAGAATTTAATACCAATTACTAAAATTTTATATTTTTATAAAACATATATAATAATTGAATAAATATATGGGTCGGGACGCCCGAGGCCTGAATACGAACAGTCGGCTGCGCAGGACCAAGAACTTGATTGCAAAAAGACTTATTTGACAGACGCGTTCAGGTTCTTGAAGATGGTATGCACATGTTTCCAACCTTTCAAGCTATTTAGCCGAGTTCGAAATGACAAAGAGAAAAGGCTAATTAACATTGTCAACAGAGATCATATCAATCCATATATTTCTAAAACTAGAGTTATAACTTTACATATTTTATAAACAGCAATATTCCTATAATTAATCGAACTTTATGTTGAACCGTTTAAACTGTAAATATGAATTAATTAGAAATCACTATAATTAAATGAGATTTACTCCCTAAAATGTGGTTTTTCTTAAAAAAAAATTCAGTAGTATTTATTTTATATATTTACCCGTATTGGATATAAAAATATTTGTGTTCAAATATGATTAAAATGCCTTTAAATCTAAAATATTTCTAAATAGAATTTTAATTTAAAATAACTCGTTACAAAGTTTTAATACAAAGAAAACATAAATTAAATACCAGTGTTCTTAATGACATGTGATAATCACTACTTTCTACCATATTTATTTGTGTATTTTATTGAAAGAAATTCTAATTTATGGGCAATTCATGATAAGAAACTGAAAGCAGATAGTTCTGACGATGATGATGATATGTGATAAGAAACTGAAAGCAGATAGTTCTGATGATGATGATATCAAAATGGCTCAAATGGTTTGCTCCATTGCAAATCGTGAAGAGTGCATGGCCTGCGCAAGTTAAAGGTTTGATTTAGGAGCTAGAAAAGATGTGATTATGGTTCTGGCTCTTCTGGATGCTAGAAGACGCAGGAGGATTATGATATGGTGGCTAGGCAACCTCTGTTAGGTGTTGCTTTCAGAGGACTTTTGTTTATGGGTTAAATCCAACCCAATACAATTACACACACACACATGCACACACAGACGTACGTTTAATGATCCAACCCAATACAATTACACACACACACACACAGACGTACGTTTAATGTTTGTGGAGCGTAATCCTGCTACCAATGGTTCAATGTGTTAAGCTCATGAATTTGGTTGCTGAAGCTGCACTTTTTCTTTTTTTTTTAAAAAAAAGCTGCACTTTAAATGTGTTAAATGTTGTGTTTTCAATTTCGGTCGGAATAAAATAGAATTGACAGTTACCTACACAAAAAATGGGGTATGTGATTTCAACGAAGAGTACAATTTGGCAATGCGGACATTGATAAACAAGTAGATTATTGAAAGAGAAATTGTCATAAACCAAACTAGCTGTAATCAACAATTTTTTGGGTTAGGAATTTGTTTCTGAAAGCCGTAGACATGAAGTTTAGTAACGACAACTTTCTTGAAGCAAAATAAAACAACTTGAAAATTTATTTGTATCGTTAAAAAAGTTATTCGCCAGTCAAATGTTTCAACTTGATTTTGGGAGAGGGAGAGTAAATCATACAATATTGAAAAAATAAAGAAAGCTTACATATACACATTAGATACAGTGTGATGTGGGATGCCAAAGCAAACAAATGGGCTCCTGGGATAGATAAACTCACTACAAAATTCTATTGCAAAGTTAGAAACACATTAGATACAAGTCCTACTTCATCACTGATTTCTTGACCACAAACAGTTCCTTAAATTTTTAATCTGCTGTGCCAGATGAGTTCCTTAATCGTTACATATACACACCATCGATAATTGATCGTCTCTCTGTTTCAGGATTAATGGAGAAACAATCTTCGCTCTGTCACCATCTTTCTTCAATGCCAAGGCTCTGGCATTGACTGATCAAGAAAGCGTTGAATGTCACGTTAAAACATGAAAACAAAGAATGCACCTGCAAAACCCAGAAACTGAAATTCGATGAGAGTGAAAGATTCAACTGCTTTGAGCCTTTCTTGTCAGTATCCAAGTGGCAAGATCAAGAACCAAGAGCAAGCCAAATCAGTTTCAGTGCTAGCTAGAAAAAATAAGCAGAGGAGCCCAAATCAAAACCATCTGGTACCATATCTGAGACTGGGGGCATCCTGCTAAAAAGTGGACTGTGCACATACTCTCCAGAATCAAACGCGAAATACGAACCACTACTACTCCCCACTGACTCAAACCCACTAGTCATTGTTGTCTGGTCCTCAAAACCCATCAACCCCGAAGTTGACGAATCAGTCCAACTACATTGACTCATATTATAATCCGAACTGTGAGATATATTGGAAGGAAACTCATGAGGAAGCACATTGTTTTGAATAGCATGTTTTAGTTGTTGATTATAGGTATTATTACTGGAGCAGCTCCAAAAACCTCCACCAGATGTCATTGAAGAAAACCCCTCTTCCAAATGGCATTGGGAGCTAAAATCCTGGTTGAAAATGGGAGTCGAGTCCGGCTGATGATCATGAGAGGGAGGGACATTGATGAATAATGAAGACAAGTTGTTGTTATGATCACTATGTTGCTGGTGTTGCTGCTGCTGTAGAGATTGTTGTTCATCAGGGGAAATAATGGATGTGACATAAGAACCAGCAGGCATGTCAGAGTAAACAAAGTTTGTGCGAGCACGAGAACCACGCATGGAGCGAGCGGCTCTGTCATAGGCCAAGGCAGCTTCCTCAGCAGTGTCAAAGGTGCCTAGCCAATGCCTTTCCTTTGATGATGGGTCTCTTATCTCTGCTGCATATCTTCCCCATGGCCTTCTCCTAACACCTAGAAACCTTAATCCAGTACCTGGTTCCTGCTGTACTTGTTGAGGTTGCTTCTTTTTTCTGTTTGATGAAGATGGATTCATGCTGCCAAGGTTTCTTTTTTTTCTTTCTAAGATGATAGAGAGGAAGTTAAGGAACTAGAAAGAGAATTTGCAAGAGTGATGCATGTACTTCCTTTTCTCTCTCTTGACTACTGGGTTGGTCGATGTCATCTTGTTGCCTCTCGTTGTTCAGGTCAGTGGTTTATATAAGAGAGCACGCTCATTCCTCTTTACAGAATTTGCCCTCGATATCTTCAGTTTTTCCTAACATGCCTTCATCTAACAAATGGGCCTGCTTGTATATATATATATATATATAAAGAAGTAAATATAATTATTCAATGAAATTTCTATTTGTTTGCTTGCAAGGAGAGAAAAACTCATATACAATCGTAGTTGTTTTTGAACTGATTTTTAACTTTAAATTGTTATTTTTAGATTGTAGTAATATTTTAATATTAAAAATAAATTTTAAAAAATATATATCATTTTGATGTATTTATAAAATAAAATAATATAAAAAATAATTTTTATTATATTTTTTAGGCATTCTTTAAAATTTAGGTCAAGAGGAATCAATTCCAACTAAATCAATGACATATATTTGTTTAATCTATGATGCCCATACATACAAACTTAAATATAATGTTACTTTTTTACCATTAACATGTAATAATCAATAAATATATGAAAAAAATCTAAATAAGAAGACTCATATATATTTTAAAACTAAACCATAGCCTAACGAGACTTCAAATTTTAATTGCCAATAGTCTTTCTTGATAGTTTTTGAAAAGCCATTCGTTTAATTTCTTAGCTATGATATAATATGTTGGAATATTTCAGAAATCAAACAAACACAAATTTATATAGTTCGTCAACTTGTATACTCCACAGAATTACTAGTTTGTATTAATCAATCAAATGAGCAATACAAACAAAGAAGAGAAGAAAAAACTCTTCTCTACTCCATACTCAACTCTTCACTGAGTATATATACACATAATAAGCTAGGAGCAAAGGTCATAAATCATGCCATGATTTATGCCTTAAATTAAGCTTTCAATAATTGCTAAGTGAGAGATTAATTATTCTCACTTGTATATAATGGAGGTGGGATATTGTTTGTCTCCATTACTAACAATCTCCCACTTGTAGACAAATAATAAAATTATCTTTTATCCTTGAAGACCAACCGAAGTTTTACATAACTGTAGTTTATCAAGTGTAACTTCTTTGGTTAACATGTTAGTTAGATTCTTGCTTCCACATACCTTTTCTAGCATCAGTTGCTCATCATCTAACAATTATCGAATGAAGTAATATTTGATCTGAATATGCTTAGTCCTGGAGTGAAATACTGGATTCTTAGCAAGTAAGATTACACTCTGGTTGTTGCTATATAAAATACCCTTTCTATTCATCTTGCTCAATTCTTTTAGGAAACTCTACAACCATATGATCTTTTTTGTAGATTCTGATACTGCAACATATTCAGCTTCTGTTGTTGAAAAAGTGATGATCTTTTACAAGGTAGAACTCTAGGAGACTATAGAGCCTCCTAAAGTATATATATATGTTGTAGTGCTCTTTCTACTATCAACATCTTCTACTAGATTAGCATCTACAAAACTTTCAAGTTTCAAATCACCAACTGTGAAAGTAAGACAAGTCTTCAAGAAACCTTTTTAAGTATCTCATGATCCATTTTACCGCCTCCCAATGTGGCTTTCTAGGATTGCTTATATATTGGCTTACAACTCCCACTGCATGGGCAATGTCTGGTCTGGTACAGACCATAGTATACATCAAAGAGCTGATAACTGAGGCGTATGGAATCTTATACATGTATCCACATTCTAGTTTAATTTTTGGCCACTGATCTTTGTTGAGTTTGAAATGATTCCTCAGAGGTGTATTTATTAATCTACCATTATCCATATTAAACCTGCTGATAACCTTTTTAACATACTCTGTTTGTGAAAGCTTTAATATCCCTTTGTCTTTATCTCTGATGATTCGCATGCCAAGTATTTGTTTAGCAGCTCCTAGGTCCTTTATTTTAAATTTTTTTGACAACTGCTGTTTCAACTTGTCAATCTCTTCAATACTGGATCCTGCAATCAATATATCATTTATATATAACAGTAGAATGATATAGAAGTTGTTAAAATATTTGACATAGCAACAATGATTAGCTTGACATCTTGTATAACCCGAATTACACATAAAGTTGTCAAACTTCTTGTACCATTATCTTGGAGCTTGCTTCAAACCATATAGGTTTTTCTTTAGCTTACAGACTTGGTTGTCATTTCCTTGTATTACAAACTCCTCTAGTTATTGCATATAAATATCTTCCTTCAAGTCACCATGAAGAAATGATGTTTTTACATCTAGTTGTTCAATATGTAAATTTTATTTAGCTACTATCTTTAGAACAATTTTGATTGTTGTGTGCTTCACAACTGGAGAAAATATCTCAGAGTAGTCAATCCATTTCTTTTGTTGAAACCCTTTTATAATAAGTCTTGCCTTAAACTGTTTGTTTCTGTCTTGCTCAGTCTTTACTCTGTAAACCCACTTGTTTTGTAAAGCCTTCTTTCGTTCAATTAGTGTGGTTAGCTTCCAAGTTTTGTTCTTTAACAAAGAATCAATCTCATCCTTCATGCCTAACTCCCACTTGTTTGGGTTTTCATCTTATAATTATTCTTTATAAGTTTGTGGTTTACCACTATCTGTCAACATAATATAATTCAGTAGAAGTGTGAACCATTATAGGGGCTTTACAGTCCTTAAAGACCTGCATACATAAACAATAGGTTCTCTTAACTCTGTATCTTTCTATGTAGTAGTGGGTATAGATGTGCTTGAATCTTCTTGTAGAGACTCTTGAATTTTATTCTGCTTGATAACATCAGGAAGTCTTTCTAATCTTATAAATTCAGATTTTTATTGACTTGTATCTGAATTAGCCATATCTGTTTTTATATTTGATATGTCTTTATACAAAGCTTTGTTATTAAAAATCACATTTCTGCTTCTAATAATCTTTCTATTCTAATCATCCTAGAACCAAAATCCAAATTCTTCATCTCTATAGCCATTGAAAAAACATTTCTTGGATTTGACATCTAACTTATTACGAGCATCAAAATCTATATGCACACAGGAAATAAACCCAAAGACCTTTAGGTGAGAGAGTTGTACTTCTTGTCCTCTATATACTTCCTCAGGTAATCTAAAATCTAAAGAAACAGATGGTCCATGGTTGATCAAGTAAATTGCAGTATGAACTGCGTCAGCCCAAAATATTTGAGGTAACTCTAAATGCAACCTCATACTTTTAGCTCATTTATTAATGGTTCTGTTCATCTATTCAGTAATTTCATTCTATTGTGGTGTTCCTAGAATAGTCTTTTCCATTTTGATACCATTGATAGCGTTATACTCTTTGAAACCTTCATCAATGTATTCTCCTTCATTATCAGATCTTAAGTATTTTAGCTTTAAACTTGATTCAATCTCAACCATAGCCTTCCATTTTTTGAATGTTTCAAACATATCAGATTTATTTTTCAGAAAGTAGACTCATACATTCTTGTTGAATCATTAATGAAAGTTATATAATACCGAGAACCTCTAAGAGATGCTACTGGAGAAGGTCTCCATAAATCTTTGTGTACCAGTTTTAACTTTCTTAGTCTTAAGGTCTTGCCAACCTTTAAGAAACTAAGATTCTTCTGTTTTCCAAAAACATAACTTTCACTTATGCTAGATCAATATTTTTTAACTCTGGTTGCTTTCCCTTCGACTAAATATCTTCATCCTCTTTTGACTCATATGGCCGAGTCTATAGTGTCGTAACTGTGCTTGATTTTCTGCTTTAGTAGAGGTAATGATGTCTGCAAATCTTGTGGTCATATACAAGGTACCGGTTTTCTTTCCACAAGCCAAAACCATTGCTCCCTTTAATACTTTCCACGTACCTCCAGAAAAAAGAATTGAATGACCACTATCATCAAGCTGTCCAACATAGATCAGTTTCTTCTTTAATCCAAGAACATGTCTTTCATTTTATAAGTTTCATATAGCTCTATTTATCATCTTGATTTGCACATCTCCTATGCCCTTGATATTCATTGGTTGTCCATCGGTCAGATAGACTATACCGTGATCTCCAGCGATATAGTTTTGCATCATCATTTCGTGGTATGGTGTACAGTGAAATGAAACATTAGAATAAAGATTTCATGGTATGGTGTATAGTGAAATGAAACATTAGAATCAATAATCCAATCATTAATTAGACTTTATACAACAAGAATTAAAGCATCTTGTACCTCATCTGTGGTAACATTCGTAGAGTCAGCTTAAGGATTTTTCGGTTTTGTGCAACTCCTTATATAATGACCAAGTTTGCCACAATTCTAACATTCAACCTGCTTTCTAGGTTCATACTTGTTTTTACTTCTGTATCTTAATCTTGATCTGCCTCTGGATGAGCCTCTATCATGTCTCCTCTCTCAAGTGTTAATGTTAAGGGCTGAACCTGAACTTGAATTTGAATTTTCACCTAAGTCTTTTCTTCATACTTCTTCAACTAAAATCAAATCTCAAATGTCATCATATTTTAGTTTGGATTTCTAGTTGAGTTATTCATGATTGTTCTCATACCTTCCCAACTGCTTGGAAGTAAAGCTAGTAAAATGAGTGCGCGAATCTCATCATCAAACTCAATCTTAATAGATGACAATTGATTTGTGATGGTATTAAAGTTGTTGAGATTTTGTGTAACAGAAGTGCTTTCTGTCATCTTCAAATTGAATAACTTCTTCATCAAGTGCACTTTATTATTTGCTAAGGGCTTCTCACACATCCCAGACAAGGCTTTCATTAATTTTGTAGTGAATTTTTCTTTTGTAACATTATGAACAACTTTTCTTGATAAGGATAGCCGGATGATGTCCAAAACCTGTCTATCAAGAATTAGCCAATCTTTTTGTTGCATACTCTCCGGTTTGTTCCCCAATAGAGGAAGATAAAGTTTTTTTTCCATATAGATAGTCTTCAATTTATATTTTTCAATATCCAAAATCTGTCCCATGAAATCTTTCAACTCCAATAGCCTTTATGTCATCTGTCATTTTTAATACTTTTCATATTTGAATCTGCCAAATCTAACCTTACGGATTTGTCCAGAATGGCAAAAAAAATTGAAAACGACACTAAAATCACCTAAATCAGACTTTGGATGACTCAAATTTTACCAATAAAACTTTTGGATCACTAAACAGTGCAAATAAAGTCGCATGTCAGCTGGAATACTATCTAAGGCGCATTGGATCAAAACCTAATATGCTAACATGGCTATGATGACATGTCAGACACGTAAGCAATAAGGGGCTTATAAATGATGATGTTACAGATCCACATAAATTTCTAGTTGACATGCTGGTAATGACATGTCAAGTGGCGTGGCTAATGACTGTGCAGAATTGTTACTGTGGCTGTTGACATGGTGGGTCAACCCGGTTCAGTTGCAGGATTCGGGTAAAGAAGGAGCGTGTGGTACGTCGATACACATGGGCAATCCTGATATAGGCATGTGTGGGCCCATGCAGGCATGCAGCACGTCAGTTCTTCACCAGGTTTTCACCAGTGGATTCGTCTCATATTTCCCTACACGATGGTGTGCTCAAAAACACATTTTGAGAACTTTGATTTCTGGGTTTGGATCAAACACCCTCTTTTTCAAGAACAAGCTCTGATACCAGTTGTTGGGACATTTCAAAAATTAAACACATACAAATTTACATGATTCGGCAACTTTCCTACTCCATAGAGCTATTTGTTTGTATTAATCAATCAGAGAA